TTTCTTAGTAATTATTTGTTAGTCAAACAATGTAAGCTATTTTCTGATGCAGAGTTGATTACAGGCTTGACTAAGTTAGCTTTAAAGAGCAGGAAGACTGCGGGCAGGGAGAGTTTAGGTGGTGGAGGGACTGAGCAAAAAGAAGAAAGGACTCATGGTCATGGACTACAGTGTGGTGATTGCAGGGGGGAGGAGGCATAAGGGGACTAAATGATAATGGAAAAAAAATACAGTGAAGGTTAAATTTTTAAAAAATGTTTACAGAGGAAAGAAACTTGCCTAAGACTGTGAACTGACCCCCATGACTCTGTCTTCTCTTTAGGAGATGTGTATCACAAAGGAATGTTTTAAATTATTATTATAGTTTTAATGTTGTAATAAAGAATTGTGGAACTTTTTCTCTTTTTTGTTATCTAAACAACTATCTAATTTTTGTGATCTTGCCTGGCAAAGCTAAAGCATGTACTACCTGGCTCTTTCCCAAAGTTCATCCACCACTGGTAAAGGATCATGAGTTGTTATTTTATTCGAAGGGTTGTAACCATACTATCTTATTTCTTTCAGAGTCCAAGCTGGCTCTGATGTCCCTTTGATATGTCTTCAGTATTCTCTGAGTATTTCTTTACTTTGTGATATAAGATGTTTGAAGCCCATATGTACTTCTTGTCTCCCTTATGGAATCTGCCATCTCTCCTCATTCCTCTAAATAGAGAAAGGAATATAGTAATCAAGATTTTGTCTTTAAGTGTGCTCATTTGTCTGATTTCTCTTTGTTTTTATGTCCTTCAGTAGACAGAGCTAGGTCATAGAATATGCTATAATTTGATGTGATATAATGCGATACGCTTCTAATTATCTCAATTCTTCCAGCTCTTAAAAGATATAAAAGGACAAGCAAGGTGAATTGATTAAGTGGATTGAGGAAGAAGTTATTATGTTATAATTATAAAGGATTTTTTCAAATCCTTTCTTCTATTTTGGTGTTCAGTTAGTTGATTGGACAGACTGTTACTGGAATAAATCACACCCTCCAAAATCTTAGAAAACTAAGATTTCACAACACTGTGGAAAGTTCCACAGAAACAAAAGGGTTAGTGATAGTTTTAACGGCTATAAGTACCATATTATCGTTTGATATGGAAATGAGGAAGCTGAAACAACCCATTTTGTCACAGATGCAGTACTGTAACTCTTCTGCTAGTGTTAAATGCAGACTGGCCTAGAGGTGAAGAAAGGGAAATCACCTCAAGAATTTCAAAAGGCCCCTAAAGCATTTAGTTCACTAAAAATTCAAGTTATAAAATTAGAAATTCTTGGCTGGGCTATTCGTTTTCATATGTAGTTTACTCCCATTGATTTCTTTTTAGGTTATGCCCCTCACAAAAAAAGTGACTATTTTCTTAATTTATAAACATGATGTGAAACAAAAAAAAAAGGCTGAACATTTATAAGCTTAAACTACCTTCAGCTTAAGCCTTATATCCTCCCAGTGAAGGCTTGTGCATTGGAAGGATTAAAAACCTCCCCTAGGATCAAATTCTGCTGTTAGCAGAAACCTGAGAATCATTCTCAAAGAGTGTGGTAAAGTGGGTGGGGTTGTGGTGTGCAGGTGGAAGAGAATATGGGTGGATAAATGGTGATGGAAAAACATAAAAAGTGTAGTTTATATAGATAACAAATGACAGATGAATGGGAGAAATCTTCCATGGAGATGTTAGGACAGGTCTGAGATACGTTTCAATTATTGTATTGAATGCAAAAGAAGATAGGCTGAGTCTTCCATAATGTTTATAGGAGTGGAAGAGCATGACTTAGGAAGGACAACCCTGGGCATTGTAGAAAATGAAATTAAATACTTTGTGATTTTATTACATTCTTTGAATCTCCCATAGCCATAGGCAGTTCTACATAGGATGGTTCAAATGAAATCCTGAAAAAAGAACATCAGCCTGATGAGATGGGTCTAAAAGATTTTATGAACCATCCTTCATGCCCAAGGAAGATGTTGCTATGCCTTTCAAATTTTATACACTTTGGTTTTTGTTTTAGAGTTTCCAAAGTTAATATTATGCTGGGTACATTCAGTTCTCTTTATCATCTCCACTTGTTTTGAGTACTTTGTTTTCACTAGGCTAATCAGTATCTATTTCCTAATGTCAACAAAATATTACCTAATTTATTTATCGAAACCCAGCTACCAGCTGGCTCTAGAATACTACTCTTTGGACCAAATTTGTAGGGAGTATTTCTTTCTCAGCAACACATTAGTCCTTGCCATTCATACAATTATATGAGAAGTGGATTGTGCTTCACCTGCTGATGGGTAACGGGGAGTAGTAAAATGGTAGACTTAGAAGTGCTTTCAAGTCTTGTCGTCTGTTGAGCATATAACACAATTATTTTTCCTCCTCAATTTTATGTCTTCCCTCCTTTTCTTTGGGACTTCAGTGCAGGAATGAAGGAAACAGATGACATAGATTTTCTTTATACAATCACTTTCTCCCAAATTCACTAAGGATTTGCAAATGCTATATGACCAGCCAATGCTGAGATCCTACATGAAAATGTAGCCCTTATCCCACTTTGTCCCCTTGTTTCTGTGACAACATAACAATTACAATTCTTTCTCTTCTGGGACTGTGGAAGGCAGACTAAACATAATAAATAAACAAAAAAGGTGATTTCAGACTGTTGTTGTGGCCTGCCTGACACTGTTTCCTTTTTTCTCAGAATCAAGAGATTGTGGAATTGGTCCTGTGTGTGTGTGTGTGTGTGTGTGTGTGTGAGATGTCAGAAGGGTATGTTAGTGGCTCACACTTTCATCTTTGTCTTTGCTTTAACTGTATTTCTCACTTATGGGCTTTTCTGTTTGTCCATGTTATGTAGTATAAACTCTTACTCACCGTACTCCAAAGGCTGAGTTACACACTGTTCTTGTTGGAAAATTTGTGATGCTAGTGTCAAAATAGCACTCCATCCTCCTCTTGAAACGATTCCTCATGATTTGTTGACCAGTCTCTTCTATCCTTAGTTCTCAATAGTTGAAGTTGTCTGGACTACAACTTGAGCCATGGCAGCTCTAACAAGTTAGTAGGGCCTTAACTGGATTTTTTAACTGGAATTCAAATAACATCCCACAAGGCTTTTCTGGAGGTTGAGATGAAACATCCATTGGAACATCCAGATAGCGCTTTATCAGTGTTTTGGTTCTAATTTTTTTGAGTGATTGACAGGATTGTTAAAGTACAGATTTCCAGGGCACACTCCCCAGAAATTCTGTCAGTCTGTTATAGGGCCTTGGACATGAACATTCACCCAAAAACCCAGGTAATTCTAATGCAAGAGATTTGTCTACTCTTACTCAGAAAAATTCTAACATCTGACTTTCCTGTATTGGTCAGGTGCATTAGATTGTTTGTAAAAGAATTAAATATTGGTATTCTAGAAAGATTATTTATTCTTAGGGAGAGGAGAATGGAGGGAGAAAGAAGGGAGAGAAACATTGATGTGTGAGAGAGACATTGATTGGTTGCATCTTGTACAGACCCCGAAGAGGAACAGGGACTGCAACCCAGGCACATAGGCATGTATCTTGACCAGGAATCAAAACCACAAACTTTCACTTTGTGAGCCAAGCCCCAGCTTACTGAGCTCCCCCCGGTGTGGGCTCAATGTTGTTTATTAACATGCAATTTAGACAAAGCCATATTTGCAACTTTTATTTTTTAAACTTTATTTTTATTGTTTGCACGATTACAGATGTCCCCATTCAGCCCACCTTTGTCCCTCTTTTCTGAGCCCCTGCCCTCCCTTCCCTCTGGCCATCACCTCACTGTTGGCTGTGTCTGTGTGTTACGCATGTTTGCGCTTTGGCTAATCTCTTCCCCTTCTTTGATCCTGTCATTCCTCTCCCCACCCCCTGACAGCTGTCAATATCTTCAATGTACCTATGAATCTGTTCCTATTTTGTTCATCAGTTTACCGGAAGTTTGTTCATTAGATTCCACCTATAAGAGATGTCATGGTATGTGTCTTTTTATTTTTTAACAAATTTGTTTTCTTGGTATGCACAGAAATTATTTTAAAGTACATTACTGAAATACGTGTTGGTTCCAAACTTCATGCGACTAGAACTCCTGGGATTTCATCCTCTCTTTAATGTTCAAGAATAGATTTCTCAGGTGGAACTAATACAGAAATGCTTATCTGATCCAACTTTTGAACAGATGTGTCTTTAGACTATTTGCTTCCTATTTTTATTTTGACTTCCTTATGTATATTTATTTAGGATTTCTGACAAAAATTGAATTGAAAAAATATAATAATGGTCATACAATATTTTGCAACTCTATGAGGACAACATCTCCACAGTACGAGCAATTGGTATTTCTCATGCGGAGCATAATCCACAATTCATTGGAATGGCACACAGGTCTCAAAGCTTCAGAAGCTTCTTTCAGGGACTGCAGATTATTTCTGTTCCAGAAAAAAGTAAAAGTAGAAACAAATGAAAATAGATTTATTGAAGAATTTCCTATTTCTATAATAACAAAAATATGCAAAGAAGAAAAGTGTAAAATACTGAGGAACTGTATTAGGGGTAGTAACTGAGAGCAGGGACTCAGTGGCCAAATAATCCAACATCGGATCCTGCCACGTCTGCTGGCTGGGTAACCTGGAAGCTCCTGTGCCTTATTTTCCTCAGCTGTATGTGTGGAATCATGACAACACCTCCCTCATGGGGCTTTAGGAAAAGCTGTTTAACCTTTAGTATCTTACTTTCCTCATCTTCAGAATAATGGTAAAACCTCTCGGAATGTTTGATTGTTGTGAAGATTAAATCATTTACACATACATATGTATGCTCTTTAATATGGTATCACTTCATACACACAGGACATTTAAAAGGTGCTTGGCATATATTGAACACTCAGTAAGTTTCAGTAATCATTATAAAATACTAAGAAATTGAAAACGATTGTATTTGTTTTTACCACTAGGTGAATAATTATGGAAAACATCAACAAATATTTATTGAACTATAAAGGCTATAATTTTTTATCTACTGCTATAAATGATATTGACTTTATAGAAAATATGGAGGATTTTGAAATTCAAGATGATGATGTCTTCATAATTACATATCCAAAATCTGGTAAGTCTGAGGATTGGGCTACCTGGTATCAGTCTTCACTCTGGTTTGGTAATACATGTGTACAAATGTGCCCTTTTCTAGGCATTAACGGTAGCCCAGCCTACATTATACCTCCATTTAAAATATTTTTTTGAAGTTATAGAAGTCTCAAATCCTTAATACGTAAAGCCATTTGAAATGCAGTTATTGTCATTTTTGAAGGCACATATGAAGAAACCAAATATTGAGCCATAAGCAGATACTAAGTAAACGCTGATCTGTTGGCTTGCTTGAGAATAGAAGAAAATATATTTTAGAAACCCAGCAGGATTCTTGTTAGCAGCATATCTAAGTCAGAAATAATTCCTTGTGTGCTTTCCAATGACTCAAACTGCTTTGTATTTCTCTATAATAATGAAATAATTTGAACTAAAATAATTTGCCTTCAAATCTTACAGTCCCCCTGAAGTGTATTTACTATATTTTACTTTTAGAACGCAGGGTGACTGGTGTTCTTGAATCAGTGTTGTAAGTGGTTAATGATGCTCAAAGATACACTGGAGTCTGTCAATACAAAAATAATTATTTTTTAGTTTCATGAAAAGCTCCCTTTTACCATCTACTTTGAAATTCATGACTTTGGTGTGAATTTCAGATTAGTAATATTGATACAATGCCTTTTCCCTGAACTTTCCCACCCTACAAAATTTATCAGCACATCTGACACTTGGTGTTTTTTCCCTCCCTTAGCTGTTGGTTGCTATAGTCCCTTGCTAGGTTTCAGGTTAAGCAGCCCATGAGAGTCTTCCTTTACCCTTAGTCCCACGCAAGTCTTTGGTACAGCACACAACAGTCCTCAGTCCAACCTGCTGGGTTCTTACTCATGTTACAGGGCAAATTAGTGACACTGCAGGACTCACTGTAAATATTATCTAATCTATGATGTCTATAATTCTACTCAAATGAGTAGTGATGATTGCAAGATTATTAAAATCTCACATTGTTTCAGAACATTGGTTGTATATTCATGAATATAGAAGCAAAATCCTAAACCACATAACTCTACAGAAAACAAATCTTGCAACGTTAAAATATACACTGTGACTAAAGTGGCTTTATTTCAAGAGTCAAAACTGGTTTAAAAATATATTAATGTAGTTCACCCACGTTCCTACAGTAAAGCCTGAATGATCACTTCAACAGGTGCAGAACAAGCATTTAATACAATTCAGCACATATGTGTAAGACAAACTCTTAGCAAACCAGGGAGAAAGTGACCTTCTTGAACCTGATTAATAGAATTTACCAAAAACTACCACAAACATCAAGTGCAATAGTGAAACATTCAAAATCAAGAACAAGATAAAAATGCCTGTGGATACTTTCATTCAACATTGGGTAAGAAGACCTATGCAAAAAAAGAAAAAAGAAAAGAAAAAGAAAAGGTGAAAGGGACCTTGAACTCTTAATGTGTCTATACTTCTAAAATATAAAGCTTTAAGAAAGACTAAGGAAGGAGAAACAGAGGTACACACAGGAAATCATAACATGGGCCTTACATGAAGTCTAGGAAACAAAAAAAGCACTGAATGATTAATTTGAACCACTACTATCACAGCTCTTTTCTAATAAAAAGCTAAGAGCACCTGATTTTCTCTTTACTAATTTTAATGCAAAATACACACAAACAAACAAAAAAAAGGACACATTTTCCTGGCATTTTTAGAGTGGTTAAAAGAAAGAAAAAGTTCCAAATGATTTTGAGCTAGAAGGTATTATTGCTGACATTTTTTTAGAAAAAATTAATTCTGTGTTGAAAACGAGATTATTTATTTTTACAGGTACCATCTGGACTCAGCAGATATTAAGCTTGATTTACTTTGAGGAACATCGTAACAGCACTGAAAATGTGAAAACGATTGATAGAATTCCCTTCTTTGAATACATTAGGCCCAAAATGGACTTTGTCAAGAGACCATCCCCTCGTCTCTTTGCATCTCACCTCCCATATTATTTAGTACCAAAAGGTCTCAAGAGCAAAAAAGCTAAAGTAAGTCATATAAATAATTGATGGACCTTTGGCACAAACAAAAATACTTTCTTCAAATATTTCTTTCCAGCCCCACTCATCCACCTTCTGTCTTGTTTTACACATTAAAATATATATATAATTATAAATATATACATAAATTGAGTCATTATACATATGACTTGCAGTGTGATCATAAAACATAGAGCAAAAAATTCTCTTTGGCAGCACATGAAATTCAATTCTTTTTCATAATTTAGTTAGCCAATTGTCCCAATATGACTTGTTTAAGCATTTACTCTTTCCCAACCATTTTAAGGTACATTTTGATATTCGAAGTTACTATAGTCCCTTCTTCTGATTCTGTATTCTTTTCTCCAGAAATTAACATGTGGCAGTTTTTCACTGTTTTAAATATTGTAACTGATAAGGCAAATCTCCATCAACTTTATTTTTTGATATCTTAATTTGCCCAGTGATTTTTTGATGTCGATTGGAATTGATTAAATATATTTAAATTAATTCTGGCACAATCATTAGAATTGCACTATTCCAATATTCCTTCAGCATCATTCTACTACTCTTTATTTACCAGGTCTACTTACATGTTTACCAATTGTGCTATGTTGTTTTTTGTATGTTTCTTATACACACTCCCTGAATTTCCAGTTTTTTGTTCATTTATACGGCTATTATGAATTGAAAATTTTTTCACTATTGCCTTTTCTATTTAGTTATTGCTGTTATAAAGATAAAATCATTGGTGGTGTTGGTTATAATAGATGGCTTCCTGAATCAATTTTGTTAGTTTTATTAACTTTCTCCCCATTCTCTGGAATATATTAGACTTTAAAATAATACATTTTATTTTCCTCTACTTTCCAATATTTACAAATGTTGTTTACAAAAAACAATAGTTTTTATTCTATTTCAATAGTTAAAACCTGCAGAAAAATAGAATAATAGAGGTGGTGATGAATGTTCTTCTCTTGTCCTTGATTCTCTAGCATTTTTTAGTATCGTTACTGGGTTTTGATTTTCAAGGCACATAATGAAAAAAATTTTTCCTATTCTTAGTTTACTTGGAGTTTTACTTTTTCTTTTTTCTTTATTCAGAAAATGTCTAATCACTTATAATGACTTTACTGGCAACTCTGAAAATGCTTCGTTCCTCCCTTCCCCCTTTAATCTACACTGAAATGACACCACTAATACTTAATAAAGTTCTATTTCTGGGATAAAACCTGTTTGCTTCAAGTGTAATACCTATTTTAACCTACAGCTGGAAGAGCTAATGTGCTCCTGTGTATAATGTGCTCCAGTGCATAATGTGCACCAGTGTTTTTGTGCGCATTATATAGATTATTATACCCATTATTATACCTACAGTAAGTAATCATTATACTGCACATGTGTAATACGCATCCTTCTATTTCCCCCCAAAATTTGGACGAATAAGTACTCATTATTGATGGCAAAATATGGTAATTTTTACTCATGAATTTTTATCTGTATTTTTAAATAGACCCTAATTTTCTATGATCTATCTTTATTCAATTTTGGTATCACTGTATTTCTAGTCATAAAATAAGTTTTGAAGCTTTTTGCTAAGTTATGTAGTTTAAAAATATCAATGAACTGAATTTTTTAAAGATTGAAGTCCATTATAACAATATCTGATCCTGTTAGCTTTATAGTCCCACATTTTCATTCTTCTGATCAGTTTCTTTAAATTATCTGCCTTTACCTAAACCAGTATTTTAATTTTATTTTCAAAGTAAATTATCCTCATTTCATCTATATTTAAAAACAATGGAAAAATTGCTCTGATCCAGTATGGCTCAGTTGGTTGGGTTTGTCTTGCAAAGCAAAAAGCTCACCAGTTTAATCCCTGGTCAGAGCACAGGCCTAAATTGTGGCTCTGGTCCCCTTTTGGTTGGGGTGAGAGTAAGAGGCAACTTATCGATGTTTGTGTCTCAAATCAATGTTTCTCTCCCTCTCTCTCTCCGTCCCTTTCCTTCTCTGTCTCTTAAAAAAAAAAAAAAGAAAGAAAAATTTACAGCATATTCTTTCATAATCTAATGAATTTTCTCCAATTTTCTGATTATACCTTTAATAATTACATCATTATCACTTGTAATGAGGAAATTTTTTATATTCTCTATTTTTGAGGATATCAGCAGTTTTCTATTACATTCGTTATTTTTCTCCAAAGAACTAGTTATTTTTTAAAACATAATTTAATGTTTTCTACTTTATTGATTTCTGCTTACATTTTATTTCCTCACATTTTGTTTGCATTTGTTTATGTCTCTTTTAATTAAATGGTTGCTATTATTTAGTTCCAGTATTTATTTTTAAATATCGACATTTTAAAATGATGGATATCCTTTTTAATATAGCTATACATATAATTTTGTTAGTATCTAAATAATCTATCATTAATTAAGGTTGATTTTCTAATTGGTCCAAGTTATTTTAAAGATTTTTAATGTCCAACTGTTTATATAAATTTTCTCTTTAAACTTTTTTTCTATTGATTAATTGTATGTATTATTATCAAGTAATGGTACTGTAAGAATTCTAATTTTTGAAACTCAGTAAGCAGTTTTATGGCCAATTATATGATCAATTTTTTCAATTTGTTCCGCGCCTACATGAGGAAAAGGTTTATATTCTCTGTGTGGGGCAGTAACACACGTGCAGGGCCCAGCAGAAGTAATGTCTGCTTGACCGTGGTTGGTAGGGTAATAATACGTGTGTAATAATTTATAGTTTTAATTTGAACATTTCACCTAAAATGTCATATGGTGTGCTTGAGTGTGATATTGTTATGTTACAGAATTACATGCTTCTGATTTTGTAATAAAAGATTTTGTAATTGAAAAAGGGTGTTATTTGTGCTGGACCCTATATGTGAAATAAATTTTGTTAACTAATTGTGTAAATTTATTTAATTAATTCTGTCATATTTGTGGCTAAAGATAATTGTGTGTAAATCTCCCACTATGATGGTTGCTAAATTAAAATCTTTACAGACTTAATAGAATTTGTGTCATTTAAGACTTTCCAGTATGTTATTTAGTAAATGAAAGTTTCTGTTCTGTTAGTCATGCAAACAGGTTATATGTTGTCCTGTTAAATAATTTGGCCTTAAATTTTACTTAACTTTATATTGTCACTTATTTTCTTTGTTTCTAGGATTTTGCCATGAATGCTTTTTAATACATTAGTCATAATAATTATTATTTATTTTAAATTTTGGCCACAAGTATTTCTTATTCTGTAAAATGATTATGACTTTTGTCCAATTTTTAATTTCATTGTCTTCTATTGGTTTGTTTTACATATATTCTGATTGTAAACATTGGCTATATGTGTTGCTTCTCACATACCTTGTTGCTTTTGTTTCATGGTATATATTAATAACATTCTTAAAAATGTAATGTAATTTAACTGATCAATTATTATTTAAATAATATTTTTAGAAAATATTTTTCTTCTCCAAAACCAGAAATATATATATATTTTTTTAAGATGTCCAAGGTTTGCTTTCATGTTTAAATCTTTAATCCATTTGTAAATGATTTTTTTTGGTCTGGTGTGAATTCTGAGGTAGAATACCATTTTTATTCTATACAGATAATTATTTGTTTCAACATATCCTATTAATTATAATAGTTTTTCCTCTTTAACTAATCTCCAATGTTACCTTAGCTTTTTATCAAATGTCACTTAAGGCTCACAGAGGGTAAATTAAAATAACTCATATGCAATATCATTTACAATATTAATAAACCACATGAATAACTTGTTTTAGAAATTAGCCTTATATGCTTGCACATGTGAAATGTCATGTGAAGAAAGTTATTTATTTCAACAGTCTTTGTAATAGCAAAAAAATAGGTATAACCTAAATTTCCATGAGTCGTTGACTGGGTGAAATAAATTATTTCACATTCATATATTGAAATATTATGTAGGTGTCAAACAACCTCTAAGAATAACCAATAATTGTTAAAAATTGTTTTACTATTCCCCTTGCAGATTATTTATGTCTACAGAAACCCCAAAGATGTTTTGATTTCATACTTTCATTTTACAAATTTAATGGTTTTATGTGAAGCTATGGATAACATGGAGCAATTCATGGAAAAATTTCTAGAAGGAAAAGGTAACTGTTGATTTATTTACACAAGTAATATGTTTATGAGGCCATGTGGCCTTTTACCCAAAATCTCAAACTTAGGGAAGATATTTCAGGCAGATAAAGGAGGGTGATGATACAAACTGGAATGCATGTAGGTGGTTGCTATTCTGTCAATTTAATTAGCCTCCCAGTGGCTTTTCTATTCTCACCAGGACCACTTTGGGGGTTGTTATAGTTGCAAAGGTTGAAGAAATATTTTGACCACATCACAGAACAACCACAAAGTTCTCACAGTTCAAACTAGTTAGATCCCTGTATTCCAAAACTGCCAATATTCAAAGTGGATGTAGTTTCTGTGTTCTGCCAAGGACCTATGACTGGCCTTATAAGGCAGCAGTAAAAGCTTCATTTCAACTCTGATGCAAGAGGATTGTGGAATGTAGAATACAATCTTCCCATTTAGAAGATTGTATTCAGGTTCTGTCTTGTAGATAGCTGAAGTTGCTACCAAGAGATCTTAAAATAGACAATAGATGGAGAAATAAAGACATATGTTTTCAGGTGGAAGAAGTAAGAAAGTAAAGAACTTACCTTAAGTCTTCAAAAGTAGTTCCTTGGGCTTCTTATTTCTTCACTACTGCTTTCCTACATACATAGGAAAGGCAGGTTTCCATTAACATCATGCAATTTTTCCCCAAAGCACCACTATAAAAAGGTAACATAGATGTCCAGTGGTAGAGATTCATTTTCTTTCTGAGGATTCCAAAACAGAAAAGAAAGACTACAGTTTGCTGTTCATTAAGTGCAGCATCTTTACCTTGTTACTTATTAACTTTTTTACAGTAGCAGGAAGCCTTTGGTTTGATCACATTAGAGGCTGGTATGAGCACAGACATGACTTCAATATTCTGTTCATGATGTATGAAGAAATGAAAAAGGTAAGAGGGCAAGGTTTTTCTGAAAATTATTTCTTTGAAACCCTTAAAAAATCTTGGTTCTAATGAACCACATTTTCCTGAGTTTTTTTGTGCCTACCTCTCAGATGTCTGTAGGGGTTTCCAATTTTCTGCCCATCCCTTAATTACCAATTTCCTCAGGGCTCTCTTCTCACTGGACACAATCATCTTTTGTTTCCTTTTCATGTACCCATCTGTACTGATAAAGGCAAACTCACATGTTTAGAGATTTGAAAAAAATAGAAAAGGCACTTTGAAACACTAGGGCGAGAAGCCACTAAGATGTGGCTAATTAGCCAGAGCTAATTGTGTGTCCTGTAATGCAGATTCTTCCTGTTTGTTTGTTTTTTTTTTCAGGAGAATTTTCAAATGTAGGTTTTGAGTGAAATTACATAATACTTACATGTTGGAATCCAATCAAACTGTTTTAAAATATTGCATGAACCAAACACTTTAAAGTTCACTATTCTGTAACCTCTAATTGTTATGTTGATTCACTTCTACATCTTACTCATTCCTTAATTCAAAGTTATTAAATGCCTACTATGTGCCAGACACTAAATCATGAGGCAATTGAATCTTTTATTTATTCAGTTTATAATCCAACAGGGAAAATATGTACTCATCAATCTGGTATATAATTAAAAACTGTTATACATGTTATCAAGGACAAGTGCAGGTATGACATCAGTGTATGTGAAATGTACTGATCTGGTATAATTAAAAGTGATTGGCAATTATTTCTGGAAAAGGTAACATGATAAAAGCAAGCTAATAAATATGGCTTGGAAGGGAGGGAAAAGAAAATTCTAAGCCAAGGAAAGGGGATGTACAAATTATCTGAAGCAACAAAGTACATGCCACCTTTGAAGAACTGAAGGGAGAGGTTAAAGAGCAGTAATCAAAGATGAAGATCAGAGAGGTGTATAGGAGTTTGACCATTCAAGGTCTGTAGACTATGTTACTGATAGTAAATTCTTTAATCTTAAAAGCAATAAGGAGCTCTTTAAGAGTTAGAAGAATAGCTATGGGATAGAATTAGTATTTTTAGAATGTCTTTCCCATTGCTCGATTTAAAAGTGATAACAGTAAATACAAGCAAACTAGAGACCAGTGCACTAATCCACTGAAAATAAGTAGGGTTTTGGATTAGAATGGTATCATTAAGACTTGAGAGAATGCAAAGTTTTAAGACATATTTAGGAAATAAAAAAGAAAGGGATTATATGTAAAAAAAAAAGAGAGAGAGAGAGAGAGAAAGGCTGATGTGTAAGATACCTCCTATATTTCTAGCTCATATATCTGTGCAGATAACGGTGTCGTTTGTGAAGGTATTGAGGGAACACTGAAGCAAGATGAGGCTAGCGGGAGAGTACAAGGTTGGGTTTGACATATGGAGTAAAGGTGACTTGAAGTATCCTAATAAAGATGTTTGGAAATGGAAGAGACGGCCTAAAGCTCAGAGAAGAGTTAGTTCCAGGCCAACAGATGAGTGATGTTTATGTGGGCGACCTCTCCTCATCTCCATTTTCTCTCCACTATCCAACCAGTGTTATCATCTCAAATGCAATTCAGATTTCTTCCTTATTTTCTATTTATTTGCCTTCATAAAAATGTGATCACAACAAAAGCATTAATAAACAATAGAATTTACTGACCACAGGGACAGAGAGTCCACAGAATAAACTATGCAAAATCTCTTGAATGTTTTTCTGCTCTGTCACGACTATCAAGAGGTATCACATTTCTCTTACTTTCCAACATGCATTTTTGATTTAGGTTTTTTGCCAGCATTTCCAAGAAATTTTTTTAACTGTATAATAGGGAGAGAATTTTTCATCTTCACCTGTGAGGGAGGATAAACCTTAGTCAACTCAGGATTACCTGCCTTAAAACTCTTTGCAGAAAAAGATGCCAATTTTCTTAAGTGATTAGGTTTCCATCAATGCTGGTGTCTATCTTGAGGACTTCCATTGTCTGCTCCTTCCCTCGGAATATCTTGGCAATTTCACCTACTACTGTTTATGCCTGGTTCTCCAGTGGTAGTTGTATCAGAAACACCCAAAGCCCACAATAGCTTATCTCAGAAAATTTTACACTTTTCCCAGTGATTTAGATGTTATATTTCCAGGAACACAGTGACCATAAAGAAGCATTTTCTTCTTCATTGTCTCTGGTATCCTACAGTATGTAGTTGGAAGGGAGGCAGAAGCTGTTATACTGTTTAGAGATTGATATTTATGTGTAAAAATTATAAATAAAAGCAAAGAAGTTGTTATTGTAAAAAAATAAGGATAATGGTTATTTGAGGGTTGGAGGCAAGGTTCATAATTAGGGAAGGGATGTGTGTGGTGGAGTTCTGGTTATTCCACCTTTAATTTTTTAAAGACCCACAATGCCATTCATATTCATTTCCATAGCAGCTGCAGCATTTTATAATGCTATTGGTAATGCACAAGGGTTCCAATTTCTCCACATCCTCGTCTCGTTACCACTTGCTTTTTCTTTTTTAATTAATAGCCATTCTAATGTGTGTAAAGTGGTATCGCATTATATTTTTTATTTGTATTTCCCTCGTGATTAGTGGTTTTGAGTATCATTCATGTGTTTATTGAACTTTCATACATCTGTGATACATCTACCTAAGTCCTTTGACAATTTTTTAATTGTGTTGTTTGAGGGTTTTTTTGTTGTTTTTGAGTTGTAGGTCTTATGTACTTTGGATATGACTTTTATCACATTATGACTTGGAAGTATTTTCTTCCATTCCATGGGTTGGTTTCACCCTATTATTTGTGCTCCTTAATCACAGAAGCTTTTAACTTTGATGGGTATTTTATCTATTTTTTTTTCTTGCCTGTGCTTTTACTGTCATATCCAAGAAATCATTGCCAAACCAGATATTATTAAGTTTTTATCTTATGTTGTCTGAAAGTTTAATAATTTTAGCTCTTATGTTTAGGTCTAACCCCTTTTAAATTAATTTTTGTATATGTGATTATAAATGGAACTATTTTCATAATTTTTTTAGATCGTTCAGTGTTAGTGTAAAGAAATGCAAGTGAAATGGGAGTGTTGGATTTGTTTCCTCAATTTTGCTGAATTGGGCTAGTAGTTTTTTGGTGGAAACTTTAGCGTGTTCTATGTATAAAATCATGTTGAATGTGAACATAGATAATTTTACTTCTTCCTTTGAATTTGGAAACCTTTTATTTCTTTGTCTTGCTTAATTATTCTGGCTAGGACCTCAGTATTAAGCTGAATAGAAATGATAAGAATGGAAATTCTTGTCTTCTTCCTGATCTTAGTGGAAAAATTTTCAGTCTTTTACCACTGACTGTGATGTAAGCAGTAAGTATTTCATTTATGGTTATTTGATGTTGAGGTAGTTTTTTTCTCTTCTTCATTTTTTTACTGTGTTTTTTCTTATCATAGAAAGGTGTTGAATTCTGTCAAATGCTTTTCTTCATCAACTGAGATGATCCTGTGATTTCTTTCCCCTACTTTCTTTGTTTCCTAAGTATATTTTATTGATTATGCTATTACAGTTGTCTCATTTTTTCCTCCCCTTTATCCCCCTCTGCCTTGCACCCCCTCACACCAGCTTAGTTCCCAGACCTTAGTTTATGTCCACGGGTCACACGTGTAAATTCTTTGGCTTTTCCATTTCCTATACTATCCTTAACTTCCCCCTGTCCATTTTGTATCTACCTATTCTGCTTCTTATTCCCTGTACCTTTTCCCCACATCCTTTCCTGTCCCAGCTGATAACCCTCCATGAGATATCCATTTCTGTGATTCTTTTCCTGTTCTGGTCGCTTGCTTAGTTTGTTGTTTTTGTTTTTGTTTCTAGGTTCAGTTGTTGATAATTATGAGTTTGTTGTCATTTTACTGTTCATAGTTTTGACCTTTTTCTTTTTCTTAGATAAGTCCCTTTAACATTTCACATAATAAGAGCTTGATGATGATGAACTCCTTTACCTTTACCTTGTCTGGGAAGCCCTGTATCTGTCCTTCCATTCTAAATGATAGCCCTGCTGGATAGAGTAATCTTGGATGTAGGTCTGTGAGGTAAATGGAGACAGCCTGGCTTCCTCACCCAGGTGTCTGGTTAACTAGGGGAAGTAGTTTCTCACAACCTTGAAGGATTCTGATAAAGTAGTGTTCTCATAGCCTTGAAGTGCGTCTGATAAAATGTTCCTATAGCTTGAGTGGTCTCGCATGTGTGGTATGAAGCTCTGTTGCATAAGGCCTGTTGGCACCCTGTCGGCTTTGTTGGTTTTAGTACTTAAGAAGGTAGGGGCTCCTCACTGGGGACACAAACATAGGCACACAAGGGGAAGGCAAGGCCCACCCTGGGTGCCATGTGGATAGGACAGGTGACATGCAGTGTGACACGCAGCTTGCAGCCTGCATGCATCATCCACCCTTGATTACAGGCATGTCAGACATCCCAATAGCTCCCCGAATATTCTCCCATATACATGAATCCCTTAAAGCTTTCCAGCCCTAAAGGGTCATAACACAAGGTCCTTGGCTTTCGTGATTTTGAATACTTCATCCCAGCCTCTTCTTACCTGTAAGATTTCTGTGAAATCTGCTGATGTCTTATGGGAACTCATTTGCAGGTAACTCTCTCCTTTTCTCTTGCTGCTTTTAAGATTCCCCTGTTATCTTTAACTTTTGGTAATTTAATTATGATGTGCCTTGGTGTGTTCCTCCTTGGGTCGAGTTTCTTTAGGACTCTCGAGTTTCTTCCAGGAAGTCCTGGAAGTCTATTTCCTTTGCCGGATTGGGGAAGTTTTCCTTCATTATTTGCTCAAATAAGTTTTCAATTTCTAGCTCCTCTTCTTCTCCTCCTGCACCCCTATAATTCAGATGTTGGAATGTTTAAAGTTCTCCCAGAGGTTCCTAAGCCTCTCCTCATTTTTTTTTGACTTCTTGTTTCTTCATTCTGTTCCGCTTAAATGTTTATTTCTACCTTTTGTTCCAAATCATTGCCTTGAGTCCCAGTTTCCTGCCCTTCACTGTTGGTTCCCTGTATATTTTTCTTTATTTCACTTTGTATAGCCTTCACTCCTTCCTCTGTTTTGTGGCCATTCTCAGTCATTTCTGTAAGCATCCTGATTACCAGTGTTTTGAACTCTGCATCTGACGAGATCACTTTTTGCTCATTGCTTAACTCTTTGTTTGGAGTTTTGATCTGTTCTTTCATTTGGGCCATGTTTCTTTGTCTCAGAGTACCTGTTATGTTGCAAGGGGAGGACCATTGTGTACTCGCTGGGATGGGGCAACCCACTGCACTTGTTGCAGTGCTGAATGTGGCAGAGTGGTCAGAGAGGGAACTATGTTGCTTGCTCGGCTCCTCCCCACACAAGCCCTGCTTTCAACAGACTGGCAACTTCTCCAACCACCACAGCCCCCACAGGTTTTTACAGCCAGAGTCTCTGAGGCCTTATCTAGCCTGAAATGGTATGGTACCCTTGGCTGAACAGTCTCTCTCACTCCCCAGTTGTCTTCCCAGTTTATCTGCTGGTGAATGTGAGGCCAACCCATCCGCCAGCTGCCTCGTTGTTGTGCATCCTCTCTGCCCCGGCTGCCCATCTCTGCCCCTCCTACCAGTCTGCATGAATGTTTCTTCAACTGCTTGGTTGTCAGACTTTCATACAGTTAGATTTTCTGGCAGTTCTGGTTGTTTTTTGTTTTTAAATTTGTTGTTGTGCTTCTTTTGGTTTAGTGAGGAAGCAAAGTGTATCTACCTAAGCCTCCATCTTGGCTGATAGTCTCTTTCCCCTTCTTTCTGTAAATGTGGTATTACATTAATGAATTTCCATATGATGAACCATCTTTGCATTTCAGGAGTAAGTCCACTTGTTTACGGTGTGTAATCCTTTTAATATGTTGTTGAATTTGTTTTGCTAGCAATTTGTTGAGGATTTTCACATCTTAGCTTTCATAACTGATATTGAGCTTTAGTTTTTATTACTTGTAGTATTTTCCTTAGGCTTCAGTATCAGGGTGATGTTGGCCTCATAGAATGAGTTAGGAAGTGTTCCCTCCTCTTTGACTTTTGGGCAGAGTTTGAGGAGGATTTGTCTTTATTCTTCTTCAAATGTTTGGCTGAAGTTACCAGTGAAGCCACTGAGACCTGGACTTTCCTTTTTGTGGCAGCCTTTGTATTTAATTACTTGCTTTAGTCTTTCCCTTGTGAAATTGTAAAGTCTTACCAAGCACTGCGAGCATATTATTGTTCTCTTAAACTTCTCTAGCACCTATCACAGTTTCTGCTACATATAAGATATCCTAAAGGTGTTGGTTGAATGAATGAATGAAGGTGAGCTGTCCTTGTAAAATGAAACATGAGGAAGCTCAAGCAAAGCTGACAGCCAGAGTACTCATTTTCACAGAAGGAATAGGGAAGGAACATATCATGTCAAACTTTAGGCTTACAATAAGCCCGATCACCTTCAGTTTTTCAAAGTGTGATAAAGTGTTGGGATGTAATTCATGTATTCTTTATTAGCTGAATACTTTTTCATACCCACAACTCTTTCAGGATCTCAGAAGTTCTGTGCTTAAAATCAGCAGCTTTCTTGAGAAAGAACTGAGTGAAGAGGACGTGGAAGCTATTGTGAAACAGGCTACATTTCAGAACATGAAGTCTGATCCAAAAGCAAATTATGAGGAAATTCTAAACAATGAACTTTGGAAAAGAACAGAGGGACACTTTATGCGCAAAGGTGATGCTCAGGGGTTTATAGAAGCAAAAGTGTTGAGAGTTCCCATGAATCCTTGGCCTCTACAGTAATTAAGAGATGATTCTACCATGTCTCTCCACGTACTGCCATTTGGTCCCTAGAGAAAATCAAATGGCCCTGAAAATGGCCCTGAAATGTATCCCAGGAAACTGAACAATTCTTTAGTACAGCGTCTAACATTTGAAACTCATTAGTCAATATTGTATTCCTTCTTTTTAGTCTATGTCATCCTACTCTTTAACATTGATAAGTCTTACCTGAGGGTGCTGGATACATGTGATTGGGACAGCTCAATTCTTTTAATTTCTCATAGAACATTCCAGAAGTAAACACAGTATGTATTTTGTTGTGGGAGAGGGAATTTGAATTACAGTTATCTTCTCACGTGTCAGATTTCTTCAGTGTAAAAAGTAGATTAATACTTCATTTAGGAACTATGCTACAAATTCAAGTACTCAACAACATGCAATTAATTTTTACTGTGCTTTTATGGCATACCAGGAGTTAAGAATAAATATATTTTCCCTCTGATACATCTTAACTTCAAATTTTTTAAAAAGTTTGATCTTTTTAGTGTACATTTTTCTGTACACTAAAAATAATTTGTACTGTTCTGTTTTACTCATACTGCATTCACGAATTCATTCATAATAGCATTTTGGTAATGGATATTTATTCTTAATTTTATAAATTTCTCTTGATACTGGTATTTTTTAAAAAATTGTTTGTTCTTTTGTCCTGTCTGTTGTCAACTTTAACATCTTATTGTTTAACTAGATCAAATATCAACTCTCTTAAATAAAGCAACTCTCTTGCCCATTAATAGCTTGGTAATTGTTTCAAATGCCAATGATAATGTTTAAACAGGAAATTTGATAGCCAAATATGCAAAATAATCTTCATTAAAAAGTTGGCTTAATGGCAGTTTCTAACTTCCATCAAGTAAAACCAAAGCAATGGCAGCTCTAAACACTCTGTTTGACCTTAACTTCATTACTTGAATCTCTTTGGGTCTCATTTATTTTATTTTATTTACTTATCTTTAGCTTTTTACACATTTATTTATTTTTAATTTTTGAGTTACAGTTGATATTCAAGATTATTTTATATTAGTTTCAGGTGTATGGCATAGTGGTTAGATATTTATATAATTTATGAAGTTAACCCCCTCAATATTTCCAGTATCCACCTGGCACCATAAAATGTTGTTACAATTTTATTGACTGTTTTTCCTATGCTCTATTTCACAGCATCATATAACTATTTTGTAACTACTAAATTGTACACCACAATCCCTTTATTTTATTTTTTTAATTTAAAAATAGAAGAAATAGTGATATTGTAGAGTTCTGTTAAACAATTATATTACTTGATGGAATATGCTGAGAATGGTGCCCGGCATTTAGTAAAATATATGTAAAAATTCTAACCTAGTCATGTATTTTACTTTTGTTATACCTCCTCAATAAAGGTTATAATTTAATGGTAGTAGGCGGGGAAACTATAATAGATAAGGACAGCGAACGTTGGAAGTGTTTTTAAGTTTGTTCTTAGTTCACGTCTATAGAAAGAAACATGAGGTGTCAGACTCTGTGGAAAACTATTGGATATTCAGCTTGGCTTGAAAAGATTAAAGAGGGTTGGGAGAAACCTATACCCTGAAAGTGCCACTTACTCCCCCTATGCTTATCTCTCTAGGGGTTGTTGGAGACTGGAAACGTCACTTGACAGTGGAGCAAAATGAGAGATTTGACAAGGTATTCCAAAGGAAGATGCAAGATGTCCCCTTGAAGTTCATCTGGGATATAAATGAGGAGGAGAATCAGTTCAATTCTCAGATAACCTACTAACTAGGAAGCATATTTTAATATACACATTGATTTATACTTCTTATGCAAATGTTAATTACAAAACTTCATTGCTAAAAAAATGAGTAACCTGTGCTGAGACTAGTTGCCCTGAGTTTGATAAACACTTTGAAATTTCAAAAATTACACTGATTCAGGAGATAGTCTGCACTGGTGGTCTGTGTTACAAAGTGAAAAACAGGAAGCATGTAATGTGAATTATAAATGTTCTGAGAGAGATTTCTGTAGTGTGCATTTTTTAATCTACAATTAAATTAACTATCAATGAAACCTTAAAATTTATTTTATTATTGTTACTAAACATTAATTATTTTATTTAAAATCACTGGGAATGTTGAAATAATTAGGGAACCCATGAGCAAGCACATGCCTTTTTTTAGTATCTTACCAGATCACTAAAATTTCCACTAAAGGTCAGACGGTCAAACATGAATTAATCATCTAGTGGTCCAATCATTTAACTATTTGGGTAAAAAAAATGTATTCATAATATATCACTAATTCCACATGTATTCAACAGTTAATTATTTAATATAAAATCATTTTGAAATACTAGAAAAATGTAGGGGAATTTGTTTATAATTCCCAAATGGAGAAAACATTTTGAAGCATAAAAGCAGTGGGAGAAAAATAAAAGTTTAGTAAATTGAGAATCATAAACATTTTGAGGCACCACCATCACCAACAAATGAAAACAACAATGTCCATATGCAGTTCAATCAATAAGTAAAGTGTGAGAAAAATGTACGGTCATGTAGATTAGAGAGAATCCACTCCTCTACATTCTTGACTGTGGAAAGGCGGGATGCTTTCAAAACATTTTAGCTACCCCGAAGGTACTGCTTATGCATGCTAATGGCAGGGGACACTGCAGTAAAACACAGTTTCGTTGCTTTTAGTTGCCAGTGATGGTATAGAAGAGTGACTGGTACAGATGGGAGAAAAACAGAGGAACGATCAGTTGCAAGAGAGTTTTACTCAGCTACAGTACATTTCGTTGAAAGCCATTAGAATTCTGAAGAATTTTACTGCATCTCTGCCACTTTGAATTTAGGGAAGTGTGAAGGAGTTCCTGAGTCAGGTCTACAGAGTCCACTGCTCCCTTAATGATCCCAAATAAAGCCTGGACTCCCGCAAAATAGCCAGTTCAATGTTCAGACACTAAAATTGCAGGAAAGCTATTATCCATAAAATCAGCTATTTTAAATGAGTGCTGAGATTGCCTCTATTTTGGTTTTTAAACTTAAAAATTGATTATGTACTTACATATAAACAGAATGAACTGCATTATTTAAGCAAGCATAACCCCAATTGATAAGATGAAGATAATAAACCAATATATCAATGTTAAGTTCTTTGAGATAGGTTTCTGTAATGAATTATTCCCCCTCTGTACTCTGGCACGTCAATATTGTTTGACAGTTTAAGCGCTGTCGTGCATGCCTTTCCCCTTAGTTCCCAGCAGCACAATTTCAGCCGCAGGCACAGGTCTCCTTCGCATTAGTAGGATCTCACTGAAAGTGGGTATTGTCTCTTAAGCTTGGCTGTTGTGGAGTGAAAGTGCATTCCCCACACCTCAGCACAACTCTCCTTTTTCAAACACATGCCCCCTGACAGCTCTCCTCTTTCATAATGTGAAGGTCTGGTCTCAACAACCCACAACTGGCAGATCGGGGATATGATTCCTGTCAGCTAGTTCCTACCAAGTGTGACCATATGTATATAACACGATCAGTTGCAATGACAAACGAAGTTAAATTCCATTACAAATGTCTTGCCTCTAGATGTTAATAGTTGAGAGATTCTCTGAATATAACTCATTACCTAGCTGTGTGAGCTTGGGGTCAAAGGTACAAATCCAACTTTGTATATCAGAGATGATGGAGAAGAGATTGTACATTATAAAATACTGTAAAATAAAAGTAATATTACAATTTAGAATTAAATACTTGTAGGGGAATTATCTTAACTTGCTACATATGCATTTTATAGTAAATTTAACCAACAAACACTGGGCTTACAAAAAGCAACGAATCGGCTCTCTGTGGTAAGGAAATTTTGAAGAAACATAGTTATACTTCCACAGAGAGGTCTATATTTAGGTAATGAGCAAATATAAGAGAATACATTTTTAAAACAGAACTCTCTGGTCAAATTTAAAATGTGCTTATAAATGAGGTTAAGTTGAATTAAATGGCATAATGAATATAGCAGGCGATACATTTTAAGATGAATTATAATCTACTAAAAAGGCACAGATTAATCAGAAGTAGGCAGAGGGCACAGGAAGGGGAAGTTTTTATGGTAGTAAACGATAAAAAATAACATGAGCTATACTTGGGGGCCCTAGCATCATCATACTATCCTCCCTCTTATAAGAAACCACAGCATATGTGGAAAAGTTCATGGGAAAAGTCACTGGTAAAAAGTCCTCCACAACATCAATGTGAATAACTAATATCACAAGTGACTCGGTCATGTAAAAGGAGTGCCTTCATAATATATACCACAGACACTCTGTGCAATGTTAGTCAACTTAGGAGTCAAAGACCCACAAGTTCAATAGTGTAAACTTCAGTCCTGAGACAAACCTTAGCACAAAGAGAAGAGTTAAGCAAATAAAGACCAGCAGAGTGTCAGAGCACCATAATCTAGAAGGTAGTAAAAATCCAAGCATTGTTTTAATTCCAGATAAGGTAGGCAGAGTGTGTATAGTAACTTTAATTTTTAATCAACCAAGTCTAACATATCTAGCAACCCTTACTGAATTATAAATTATATATATTTTTCTGTTCTTTTGTTATTTCACAATGATGGGGGACTCAAAAGTTGGAAAATTTTAGTTTCTGGAAGTTGATAAGCCTAAGGAGTAAGTGCATGGGAAAAAGCTGTTGTTTCAGGAGCTGCAGATAAGGCCCACCTTGACCCAGGAAATCACACTGATTGATATTTGTGCTCCTCAAGAGACCATAAGCAATCAAGGTGATTATGGCAATTAAGTTCAGCCATTGTGCTCCAGGGAGAGACAGAAGACCAACTTGGGTAAAGATAAGGCAACCACAGACCACCCGACCTCCTGGGCCACAGCTGGGGATATCCCCGACTTTGTGTTCCAGGGAGGGAAAACTGCCCAGAGAGAGAATGCTGCAGTTTTTCTTTAAATCTCATTTTCCCTGAATTCCAAAGCCCTCACCACACTTTGTTCTCTGTCATGAAAATGCTGGCTTGCAAGGAAAGCTGACTGCCTGTTAGGCTAAAACCCACAGTCCTCTCAGATCTTCAGCCTCCTGAATCAAGCACAGGGAAAGACTCAATCCCTGTCGCTGCTTATTGGGTCTGGTAGGTGACAGGCAGCAGGAACAAGGGCTTTCTGGTTTCAGAAATGAGGCCAATTTGCTAACACATCCTTCTGAAACACTGAGGATTCCAAGGGCTGCCTGTCAGCTGCTGGATCACAGTTTCCTGACTCACCGAGGCTGTTAGCAAGAGATGCTGGGAGAGAGTGGGAGGACTTCAGCAAAATCCGTCTACACAAAGAAAAATATTTCAAAGAACTTTCTGATACCTTCTCGAAAAAGCTTTTGTTTTTCTGTCATTCCAAGAGTGCAGAATGCAATGTCATATTTTGCTTTGGGGTCTTTTTTCATGTTTTAAAAAGTAGTCTGTTTCACCATGGATTCCACAGCCTCAGTAGTCAGCGTTTTTCAAGAGGCTTGCTGATTTTTGGCGCAGTGTTTCTGGGGCTCTGCGATAGGGTAAACTGATCGCAGGTGACTCCCGTGGTGGAGAGACAAAGTATGTATTAGAGGAAAGGCCCACAATGGAATGGATGTGTGAATAAGGATTCTATTGGACAGACACTGCTCAAAGATACACGAGATTCTACTTGTAAGTTCAGTTGAGGAAGATGTTCAAGAATAAAGTCGAAACAGGAGATGAAACTCTTTTCACTACACATGCCATTCATTTATGCTCACCTATGTGTCCAGGAGGCCACCCCGACTACCCTATTTAATAAGGCAGACGGCCCAGTGCCCGCTTCCTGCACTTCTTCTGATCACTAGTTTTCTCTGTTACCTTTTAATTCCCAGAGCCTTTATCTCCTTCCAATATAATAAATGCAGTGATTATTTATTATACTTATTGTCTAGTGTCCTTCCCCACTGAGAGGGTAGCTCTAGGAAAATAGGGTTTTCTGTCTGTTCTCGTTCAGTGTTTAGAAAAGTGCCCAGAATGTAACAAGAATGGGATAAATTTGTGGATGAAAGAATAAATAAGTAAATTGTTGCCTAACTTGAAGGGAAACGTGAAGGCCTTAGAATAAATTAAACCTGTGTATTTTTGAAATTTCTCATCAAGTCTAACTCATTGATAAGTTAAACAAACAAACAAAAAACCTTTCATCTAAAAAATCCTTAGGCAAGTATATTTTAAAAATATGATCTCAGTCTCAAATGGTCATATATTATGTGAATACCTTTATTTAACATTCTTGAAATAAAATTGAAGACATGAAGATAGATTACTACTTGCCAAAATTGTCATGGTGACTATACATGTGATAAAATTGAATAGAACAACAACACACACACGTCTACGAGAGCATGTAAATCCTGTGAACTCTGACTGAGCTCCAGGAACCGTCCCAACGTCAATTTGTTTCCTGGAACGAGCATGCGTTATGCAAGATGGTACTTTGGGGAGAGGCTGGATAAAGAGTTTATGGGACTTTCCAATCTTTTCTCTTTCTCTCTCTCTCTCTTTATTTATTTTTTGCAATTTTGTGTGGATTTTTAATTATATCAAAATAAAAAGTTTTAAAATGGTAAGAATTTTACATTGTGTCATATAATGTGTTTGAATATATGTGTTTTATGTCTATGTTATACACTGATTCGAAAACAATTTTGGTAGAGTCACAACTCAAACACACAACAAACCTTCTTCGTTTCCTCGTAGACATCAGGATTGTGAAGCCATCGTATGAGTGTGCCAGCCTTTCGTGCGCTCACACCAGGAACTGCCAACCACTGGACCAAACTGGCATAAAATATCTAAATCCGAAATGCCAGTATCTAATAAGGCTGAGAGGAAAGTAAGATTCCAGGTGCCACATCCAAGTTCTTTCAGTTTTCTGGACTATGTTCAACCAACTAATATTTTTCAACCTGTCTTATATAACTAAGTCCCAGCACCTTCAACTGGGAGAAAACCAACAGGGGTAGGGGAGTGAGCCCAGCGTCACATAGGCCTGCCGCTGTCCCAGTTTAGCTCCGGTAACCCTGGTCAAGGCTCTGAACTGCAGGAAGCCTCATTTCCTCTTGCATAAAGAGTGCGTAGTAAGAATATTTACTTATGGGAAGCAGAAGGCATACGAGAGAGATAAACGTGAAAACCACCTGCACGTGCCACAGCAACACACAATTCGGTGCAGGTTAATTCCCCTGCTTGTTCTTGAAATAGCTACAAGTGCCTTGTTACCTTACTGCCGGTACTGCTAGGGACACGGAGACTTTTGTACGCCACTAACTGACTTTTGTTTCCCACATTGCAACCTTTTATTTTAGTTATTATTTTCTTTAAGGGTATCCTTCACCATAGGGAGTCTTGAATATTGTCATAAATGTCACAATTTATGTTTTCTGCTCTGAGCATGTTTCCAAAGGAAAGCGGTGGTGCCTACAACATTGAGGTCACAACATTGAGGTCACAGAGCAGGATGCTTGCTACTTTCTGTTTAATAAATGTTAACCTTTATCAGTGAAACATTTTTTGATGAGTTCTTCCATTGTATCTCATGTCATATATTTTAGCATTAAAAAGATGTCATGACATCTTTTACAGTTTCTGAATACATACACAATCTGAAAGTATAAAGTGATTTTAGATGTTTTAGATGAATATTCACTTTTCTTAATTTTTATTAAGCACAGTATTTTTTATGAAAACTATGGAGAGGACTCTAATTATCCATTTGTTCAGTGTATTCACACTGTATACGCTACCCTCTCGTTAGTTATTTAGCAGCCATCTCAGTTATCAGATGGGCTATTGGCGACAAAGACCGCATTCACGGACCTTTTATTACAGTATATTATTACTGTTCTATTTTATTATTGCTGTTAATCTCTTACTATGCCAAAATTATAAATGATCCATTTACAGATTTTAAACTCCTAATCTATAAATCAGATCTTGAAAAACCTCCCGCGCTGGGTCCTGCCTCCTGCTCCTCCTCTGACGACCGCAGGTCGGATTGGCTGACCTAGGAAGAGGAGCAGAAGCATCACCAAATCACAAGCCAAGATTTTCATATTTCTTGGTCCCCTTCCGAGAATCCTGGCAACCGACGTGCTCCTTTGTTTCTCTCAGTGGAACCCGGCCTGGGGTTGCTATGGAGATAGGACGCTGCAACTTGCAGAGCCTGTGGGCCCTAGAAATTGCTTAGCTAACTTCAGCAGAGCGACTGTCCTGTGTTGTCTCCTTCCATTTCCCCCCGACGCCTTTCTCCTAGAACTGGGGTTTGTTTCCCCCCCTTGATTCTTTATATGGAACACTCGACCGCTCAGCAGCAAGAAAGAGAAAACCAGGAATCGGAGGAAGAAAGGAAACCATGGGGAGAAGTAACAGCAGCTTCTTTCCAAGATCCTAAGCTCGGGCTCGCGGAACCCGCGGAGTCGGAGCAGGGGCCTGACACTGGACCCCAGCGCCGGAGCAGCCCGCCTCGGAGTCCGCAGTCTGCAGGCAGCACACCTCCGGGGGACCTCCCAGGAACAGGTGCGTCATCTCCCCCTTCGCCCCCTGAGGGGTCCTCTTCCGCTCCTCCTCTGGCTCTGTCCACGCGGGACCTTGCGGCACCACGGCCGTCGGACAAGACCGCCAGAGTGATTCCTGAAGCCGAGCCGCCTCGCTCTGACCATTTGAAACAGTCACCTGATAAAGGAGAACCAACTCATCAAACAGGCCGATCAAAGGGGAACGCCTTTCCACCGTTTCAGGAAACAAATGGTCGCTTGTCTGAACCGAGGGATGTGAGCTGTAACGACCCGAAACAAAAGGAGCGGAGATTTGACATTTTTCGGGAGGGAGACTCCAACAGCAGCTCTGATCTGGACGAGGCCGAGCCTGAAGCGGCCCCCAGCGCGCTTGAGACTGCCCTGCAGAGTGCCAAGGCTTACCTCCTCCAGACCAGCAGCAAGTCGGGCTTAAATCTGTAAGTCTTGGAGCGGGGAAAATGTTTTAAAGAGAAAAGTAAAGCTAAGAAAAGGGGATGTGAGCATCTCTATATGAGAGTGTTTCTGAGTGTGGATGAAAGTATATTTGGAAAGCCTGTATTAGTAAGAGTTAGTGACTTAATAACTCTTTACCTCACAGGACCCAGCATAGGGCATTGATGAGCATTCTTTTACTTCTTTAAAGACCCTTGGCCTTGAGAATTATGGAGCCTTGGGTTTGGAAGAGATCATAAAGATAGTGAAAGCCAAGCATCTCTTCACGATGCTTGTATAAAACAACTTTCTACCAGTGGAAGGGAGTGCCTGGCTCTAATCTCAGCGTTCTGATACTTGTTCGATTTGGTTTCAAGTCCTCACTCAGGCCAGTCCGGGGTGACTAGATCTCAGTTATTCGGGATCTCTCCTGATTTCAGCACTAGAAGCTCGGCGTCCTGAGAAACCCCTCCATCTGGCAAACCAGGAGAATTAGTCAGTATAATTTTAAGGTCTAAAGAATATAAAGAGTTAATATTTAATGTGTGAAATCTTTCACCTAACTCAAGATTGGCAATTTAAAGTATTATTTGTAAACTATGTTTTTAAACTTTACTGAAGCTTCAGGGATGTGATCTGCTGCTCAGTAGTGGGTTCTACTTGAACTTCTGAGATAAACTTCTTGTCATAATGGCCTCGGTTAAATAACAAGCATGACTTTGCAAACTATGTTAAAAGTCCAAAAGAGCTCATTATGAACACTTGAGATCTCACTAACTGTTTAAAATCGAATACAAAAAGCACAAAAATGGGGAGATTTCCTTTACTGAATTGCATAATAAGGGGCATTACTGAAATACCTCAGTTTTATTTTCTTCCCAAATGCTACATCTCCGAGGCAAAGAACGAATATTGTCTATAATGTTCCTATTATCATCTAAATACTTTAGAGCCTGAAATTAAAACCTGCTTCCTACAAACCCAAACCCTCGGTTTCTTATCTGCAGCTCTTATTTAGCAGCCATAAAAATGATTTTCTGTTCTAATTAAAAGAATCTTTGACTAAAATATACGATCTGATATTTATTTTTCTCTTACTGCACTGAAAGCCAACACAATTGCTTTCTCCTATTCTATTAAAGCAAATTATCAATCTTCTCAAATTGAGAAAAGTGGTATTATGAATTAATATCTAATCAACATATTTTATAATTTGACAAAAATGATATTTTGACAAAATGGTGTAGACTCCTTAAAAAACAATGTCTTTCCAAAGCACTATGAATAAGCACATGTAAATGTTTTATTAAAACCTGAAAAATAAAATAAAAATGTGGACTTCAAGTCCTTCATTCAATGGCATACATGGCCCCTCTTCAAGCAAATTAAAGACTCCAGTCAGAACTGCAGCTACTGCCTGGTAGGCAGTGACATTTTCAGTCTGGAGACTTTCCCATGAGTTTCAATACTGAACAAATATTAAGAAAGTGGAGGAAGTTTTAAAGAAACTCCTAGTCATTAACATTTCTGTTCACTTACAAGAATAGCAATATTCTGGGACATAATGATATATTGTTTATACATAATACTTTAAAAACTGCCCTTTACATTGGTTGCACATATCATCTACAGAGTTTTTTTGACATTCTTGAGGTCCATTGGATAAATAGAGATATTAAAGAAAAAACAAAAAATGATACTTAGGGTCAATGAACAGAAAATAGGCAATTATTGAACAGGTGTTTTGATTCACTATAATAGGAGAGGAGATATGTTAAGGTACATAATCAAACAAAAACCGTCAATCTAATTTTGGCAATCAAACAAAAACCAAAACCCTAATTTTGGCAGTGCAGGAACCTAACGCAGTTGCTGCATGGCAGATATCCAATGTGCACGAGTACATAGCAGTGTATTTGTGATCCCAGAAAGGCCCCCTCTCAACTGAGGAGGAATGGTTCTCTTGGATGACTTGAGGACAAGACGGTTCCAAATTTTTTCTTCAGAGAAAAGGGACACAACAAGCAAAGGCTCTCAGGTAGCACTTAGCAACTGTATGAGTGATCTTTAAGCAGATTTACCTCACTGGGACAGCAGTTATAATGGAACTAATTGTTAAAAATGAACTTGGAGAGAAACAATACTCATCTGTCAGAGAGGAAATTTATGCAAGTTTCCATATTGGAGAGAGGAGTTTCTGTTTAGCCTAAGAGCACTTCGACGGACAATTTGGTTCTTAAATAACGAATTCGTATTGTAAGTCTGGTATTTGAAAAGGCACACCTTTCTGTTATGAATAAAATGTAATGAATTGAAGAGGTTAGAGGATGTTTCACTTACTCAGTTATAAAATCAAGAGCTAAGACAGTGTTTGTAACAGAACAAAAATATTAGAGTGCACTACATTTTAATAAAGGCGAATCCTATTTTATGACATTTTTCTTTCAGTTGTATGTGGGCAGAGGTTGAAAAATGAAATGTATTTCTACAGGCTTAGAACATGCTGAAGTGGATTATTGGCCTAGGAAATGAAACAGAAGAGAACAGACATATCACTTAAGAGAGTCAGTAGAATTTAGAAGTCAAATTGGATTTGGCAAGGGTGGGGAAAGGGGGTGGAAAAAAATTAAAGGTAAAAAAAGAAAAATGTTAATCACTTTAAAATATATACCTAAGAGATTTCAATCTCAAATGAGGTGTGAAAATGTTCCTGGCATAAAGTGTGTATCTTTCATAATGTGTTTTTCTTTAATATCTTAAATATTCATATCATACTGGAGATATTTCCTACGAAAAATTCTAGAATAGGTTTTTTTTCTGGTAGAAGTTACTGTGTTTATTCACTTAAAACTGATGAAGGCTTTGAGCTGTTGACGTTTCTTAAAAACCAGCTGAGTCTGCATGGAATGCTTCCTTCTTTCAATACTTTCGACGTGGGTATGATCTGGAATTTTCTCTTTTTGGGTAGATATGATCACCTCTCTAATATGCTGACCCAGATCTTAGATGAGCGTCCTGAAAATGCTGTGGACATCATTGAAAATATTAGCCAGGATGTGAAGAAGGCACATTTTAGTAAGAAATTAGATACACTCCAAAATGAAAATGAGATGCTTCCAACATATGAAATAGCAGAGAAGCAAAAAGCTCTTTTTCTTCACGGAAATTTGGAAGGAGCTGACCAAGAACTGGAAGATGAAATAGTAAGTCACTAGTACCTTTGATTACTTCAATCTTACGGTTTTATTTGAGGTGAGTGCTGTGGCTTTAGGTTCACATCAACAGTCTTTTATAGCTTTCTAAATGGTACTTTCAACCTCATGTCACACAACTCATGTCCTTGTTTAGAGTTTATTATTTCACATTGTGTTTTGTATTTCACAGGCTTAGCTAGTACATGTCTGTGGAGTTGAGGTATTTTTATCAGAGAAAATGGTTTCTTCATCTTTTATATTCCAAAGTGCCTGGGCCTATCGCTCTTTCTTCATTAAATACTTAATTGCATTTAATAACTTAAACTTAGGCTTTATATCAAGTTGCATGTTTTCCTTTTAATTTTACTAGGAAAATTAGTACTTCTTTTTTATTCCACTAAGACTTTATGTATTTATTTTCAGAGAGGAGAAGGGAGAGAAAAAGAGAGGGAGAGAAACATCAATATGTGGTTGTCGCTGGTGCGCCCTATACTGGGCACCTGGCCCACCTCCCAGGCAAGTGCCCTAGACTGGGATTCGAACAGGCTATGCTTTGGTTTGCGGGCCATCGCTCGTCCCTCTGAGCCACACCAGCCAGGGCAGAAGTGCTTCAAAAGTCATGTGAATTCTCTTCCAAGGCAACTGCCTCATATTATGCCTTGCTATTATGCTTATTAGGTCAATGAGACATAAAATAAAGGAGAGAGACGAAATATGTCTTTTTAATCGTCATAGATAAATCATTGAAAATACTAACAGAGAAGATGGTGATAGAGATAAAAACCTATCATTAAAGAATAAAACCAGTTGTATCACAGAAATTCTAGCGAAAAATATTTCAAAATACTATCCAGTATTCTGTTTCCTAAATGCCTATATGATTATAATTTACACTCCAGAGTAATTTATATGTCTCCCGAACTTCCATGTTTTGTTACCACAAGAGTACTTAAAAATCTGTCTACGTATTTGCAAATTTGATGTTTAGAGTGAGATAATGTCCGAGAAAGGCAAAAAGTTTGATCAGGGAAAAGGCAGGAGGCATAAGGCTCTGGAAGGCAGGTGTACTCTCAGGGCTTGGCAACCTTTCTAGGGAGACCTAACAGTGGGGCCCAGAGTGCTCAGTGGGAACAGGTGATAGGTATGAAGAAATTGATATCAGCTGCCCTTTTCTGAAAATATCTTACTCCAAACATTGGTTATGTCTTGATATTATGTCCCTGGCACATCCAGAGAAGATGAGTCTTGGGCAAACAGAAGGCGGTCACTCTCATGGAGAAATTTACCAAAGAAAGGTCAAACTCCAGCACAAGAATGGGGCATTGGGGTATCTACAGGCACTTCACGGTAAAGCAGGAATCTGCATCCTAAAACCAGGACATGGAGTGAGAGCTCAAATAAGCTGTTTTGATCCTGGAATTGGAGCCTCTTCACCAGATTTCATAAGTCCTCCTAATAAAAAGTAGGATGGGTTTTTGAGCCAGGAAGTACTGAGTCATCAGATGAAGATTTAGAGCTCTGCTTAGAGAGTAGAAACATGCAGGAAGAGAAAGACAGGTAGATGTTGGAATGTGAGCTTTGTGTTGGATTCTGTCCCAGACTTATATGTTCAAAGTGCTGGCATGTCTGTTGCTGTCTCTGACCACATCAAATTCCTATTCTTAGTCTCCTCCACTCATTTATTCATTCATCCTTAATTCAAAAACATTGCCATGCCTTCCTGCATGCCAGGTACTGAGATACATATCTGAAAAAGGCTTTTCTGATTTTACGTTATTCACAGCCCAGTGAGAGGCAGGGGGAAAAAAAGATTATAAAGATTACCAAACTACTTTATTAGTTCAGTAATGGAGATAGCCTCTTATGGTGGTAAAGATAGGCCTGTGTAATTGGATCTCAATCAGAATCTGAGCTCAATCAGTATTCTTTGTGGACTTTGAGTGACTAACCTCTCCCAGACTCAGGGATAGTCACATGGTACCAAACTAAGGGGTAGTGGTACTAAGCAAAAAGGGGCTGGCACATCCTAGAAACATAATGAATAGTGGCGACTATTGTTATGCTGTTTTTGACAAGCTGTGAGACAGAATGGAATGACTACTCTGCTATTAGGAATTGGGCAAGGTTTTGCAGTGGAGGTGATATTTCTTTCTTTTCTTTTTTAATTAATTAATTTATTTTTTTCAAATACATTTGTCTCTGCCTACCCCCCACCACTTTCCCTTGCCCCCTCCCTCCCTCCCTCCCTCAGCTCTTCCCCTTTGGTTTTGTCCATGAGTCCTTGTTATATGTTCCTTGACTTTCCCCTTCCCTTCCTTTTCCCTCGCCCCCCCTCCCTCCTTCCCTCTTGTCTCTGTTGGTTTCTTTTCCTTTCAGTGTTGCTGGTCTTATTTTCCTTGCATCTTTGTATTGTTGGTTAGGTTCCGCTTATAGGTGAGATCATATGGTATTTGTCTTTCGCCCCCTGGCTTATTTCGCTTAGCACAATGCTCTCGAGTTCTATCCATGCTGTCGCGAAGTGTAGTGGTTCTTTTTTTCTTTCTGCTGCGTAGTATTCCATTGTGTAAATGTACCATAATTTTTTGATCCAGTCATCTACTGATGGGCATTTAAGTTGCTTCCAACACTTGGCAATTGTAAATTGTGCTGCTATGAACATTGGGGTGCATAGGTTCTTTTGTATTGGCGTTTTGGGATTCTTAGGGTATAATCCCAGCAGGGGAATCATTGGATCAAAAGGCAGTTCCATTTTCAGCTTTTTGAGGAAATTCCACACTGCTTTCCACAATGGCTGCACCAGTCTGCATCCCCACCAACAGTGTACTAGGGTTCCCTTTTCTCCACAGCCTCGCCAGCACCTGTTGTTTGTTGATCTGTTTATGATGGCCATTCTGACCAGTGTGAGGTGGTATCTCATGGTGGTTTTGATCCGCATTTCTCTGATGGCTAGTGATCCTGAGCATCCTTTCAAATGCCTCTGGGCCCTCTGTATCTCCTCCTTGGAAAAGCATCTGCCCAGGTCCTTTGCTCATTTTTTGATTGGTTCATTTGTCTTCTTGTAGTGGAGTCGAGTCAGTTCTTTATATATCTTGGAGATCAAACCTCTATCCGATATATCATCAGCAAATATATTTTCCCATACGGTTGGCTCCCTTTTCATTTTGCTGATGTTTTCTTTAGCCGTGCAGAAGCTTCTTATTTTTATGAGGTCCCACTTGTTTATTCTTTCCTTTATGTCCCTTGCTTTAGGAGACATATCAGTGAAAAAATTGCTGCGTGGGATATCTGAGAGTTTCCTGCCAATGTTCTCCTCTGGGACTTTTATGGTGTTGCGACTTATATTTAAGTCTTTTATCCATCTTGAGTTTATTTTTGTGTATGGTGTCAGCTGATGATCCAATTTCAATTTTTTGCATGTAGCTGTCCAGCTCTCCCAACACAATTTGTTGAAGAGGCTGTTATTGCTCCATTTTATGCTTCTGCCTCCTTTGTCAAATTTTAGATGCCCATAGAGACCTGGGCTTATTTCTGGGCTTTCTATTCTGTTCCACTGGTCTATGGGTCTGTTCTTGTGCAGTACCAGGTTGTTTTGAGTATAGTGGGTTTGTAGTACAGTTTGATGTCCGGTATTGTGATCCCTCCTACTTTGTTTTTCTTTCTCAAAATTGCTGTGGCTATTGAGGGTCGTTTATGGTTCCATACAAATTTTTGAAATGTCTGTTCTATTTCTGTGAAATAGGTCATTGGTATCTTAATAGGTATTGCATTGAATCTATAAATTGCTTTGGGTAGTATGGACATTTTGATGATATTAATTCTTCCATTCCATGAGCACGGTATATGCTTCCATTTATTTGTGTCTTCCTTAATTTCTTTCTTCAGTGTTGTATAGTTTTCTGCATACAGGTCTTTTACCTCTTGTTTAAATTTAGTCCTAGGTACTTTATTTTACTTCTTGCTATATTGAATGGTATTTTTTTTTCTGATTTCTTCTTCTTCTATTTCATTGCTGGTGTACAAAAATACCTTTGATTTCTGAATATTGACTTTGTATCCTGTTGTTTTGCCAAATTCACTTATTAGGTTGAGGAGTTTTTTTGGTAAAGTCTACAGGGTTTTCTATGTACACTATCATGTCATCTGCAAACAATGATAGCTTTACTTCCTCCTTTCCTATTTGGATGCCTTTTATCTCTTTCTCTTGTCTGACTGCTGTGGCTAGGACTTCCAATATGATGTCAAAAAGAAGCGGTGAAAGCGGACATCCTTGTCGTGTTTCCAATCTTAGTGGGAAAGATTTCAGTTTTTGCCCGTTCAGTATGATGTTGGCTGTAGGTTTTTCATATATGGCCTTTATTATGTTGAGGAATGCCCCACTTATTCCCATTTTGCTGAGTGTTTTGATCATAAATGGGTGCTGTACCTTATCGAATGCTTTTTCTGCGTCTACCAAGATGATCATGTGGTTTTTGTCCTTTCTTTTATTTATGTGATGTATTACGTTTATTGACTTGCGTATATTGAACCATCCCTGCATCCCTGGGATGAATTGCACTTGATCGTGGTGGATAATCTTTTGAATGTATTGCTGGATGCGGTTTGCCAATATTTTGTTGAGGATTTTAGCATCTATGTTCATCAGCGAAATTGGCCTGTATTTTTCTTTCTTTGTAGGGTCTTTATCTGGTTTTGGGATCAGGGTGATGCTGGCCTCATAGAAGGAGTCTGGCAGTCTTCCCTCCTCTTGGATTTTTTGGAATAGTCTGAGAAGGACAGGGGTTAGCTCTTCCTTAAATGTTTTGTAAAATTCTCCTGGGAAACCGTCTGGCCCTGGGCTTTTGTGTGCCGGGAGTTTCTTGATGACTGCTTCAATTTCCCCAGCTGTTATCGGTCTGTTCAAGCTCTCTGTTTCTTCCTCCTTCAGTGCTGGAAGATTATACTTTTCTAAAAATTTGTCCCTTTCATCAAGATTTTCAAATTTCTTGGCATATAATTGTTCATAGTAGTTT